AACTCATTTCCCTTTCCCTAGGTTTACCTCTTCAGGTGGTCGAAACATTATTCACTTATGTATCTACAGTGATGCTTTCAGAAGATAAAATAGGTAAACTTTCAAACTTACTACTGATCATTGACAAAATTCTCGATTCCGTCTTTTCTTGCAACAATACCTAGAGATGCAGCAACAATCACCGCTGGAAGTCCTGCAACAAAAGCCACTATAATTAAAAGAGTAATTGCTTAAAATTATCAATTACGAGGTAATATGAAAGAGGAAAGCGAGACTTATCAAAGTGCGTGCTATGTTACCTAGCAAACGGCTGTGGGGAATAGGAAAAATCAAGGCGATTATACTTCTCTCTTTGATGCGACAACAAAATTCAAAATAGTCTTCTATATGCTTGCTTCCCACCCCTGTTTGCCCACAAAAAATATTAATTTCTGACTGCGTGGTACTGTTTTCGTTATGACATCCCGACTGGTAAGTGTCAAAAGCCAATCAGAATTTGACAATTAACACGTTGTGCATTGCAACAGCAAATCGTTTTTTCTCGTTGATACTTGCTTTATTGAATTCAACTTACTTTAGCACCCTCGCGTATAATGATTTCAGCTTTTATCGCATCTTAACAAGTAGTTTTCCTTACCCCAACAAAGGACATGATAGCGACGGAGTTTATCACTTATGTTATACACCTTCACAACAAATAAGTAGATATAAATGCCCTCGACCAGCATCCAGCAGAATGCTGCCATCAGAGAATACTGCATGAGAGCTGCTACCGCAAGACAGACAGCCTGCAAGAGATTATCATCGGTTGGCTGATGTATTGGGTAAGCAAAAAATTATCAGGCAATGTACAAGGAAACACAAACATATACACACAGGTTAAAGAACAATAAACGCGCACTGACAAAGAAAGAAAAATAACAACAACTGCAACACGAACCAGGAAAAAAACCTGTATAAGCACCTAGAAAAAAATATAATATAGTATAAAAGAATCGAATAAAAATGACAGCCAACGAAGAGGACGTAATTTAATCTGTCCCAACCTCTCACCTTGTTTCCTGTGGCATCAACTCCAGCAAGGAAGACAATATGTCCCGCTCCAATGCAAGATGTTAGCCCTACTCGAATATGGGACAATGGTGCATGCCTGTCTCTACAGAGGCCCAAATGAATAAAAATTTGTAAACCAAAATATAATGACCAAAATTCAGCTAAGGAAGTGAAGTAAGAGAAATGTTAACGCCCGAACCGTTTTCATTAATCTAATTTTCTTCAAATGACCTTCGCTTTTTAACCCTTTCTCTGCTTTTTACACGTGTTGCAGCTGATTTTTTTGTAACTTTTGTAACCTTGTTTGTTTTAGTTTAGGCATTACTTTGGCCGAAAATAGTCTGAAACCTCCGCCAGTGTAATCCTCTCCCCAGGCTATCACAGGTTGTCGAGACGAAGGACATATCTAAGGCGTATTCTTTAATCTCGCCAGGACTATGAGACGACACGATCAAAGAGATGACTTCAATTCCTTCATGCTAAAGAGACCACTTCCTCCATGCTAAAGAGGCCACTTCCTTCATGTTAAAGGGACCACCTCCTTCATGCTAAAGAGACCACTTCCTCCATGCTAAAGAGACCTCTTCCTTCATGCTAGAGACCATTTCCCTCATGCTAAAGAGACCTCTTCCTTCATGCTAAAGAGACCACTTTATTCATGCTGAAGAGACCACTTTATTCATGCTAGAGAGACCACTTCCTCCACGCTAAAGAGGCCACTTCCTTCATGTTAAAGGGACCACTTCCTTCATGCTAAAGAGATCACTTCCTTCATGCTAAAGAGATCACTTCCTTCACGCCAAAGAGACCACTTCCTCTATGCTAAAGAGACCACTTCTTTCATGCTAAAGAGACCACTTCCTTCAGGCTAAAGAGACCACTTCCTCCATGCTAACTTAGCGAAGATTTCAACTGATAAAGTGCACATATTATAAAATGTAACTGAAAGGCACTTACGTAAGCAGAATATAGCTGATGATTGTAATAGAAACTCCAGCCAGAGATAAAGCCATCCCCACAATTGTAAGAACTGTCAGTATCCTGTCATCTCCCTTAAATTTGATTACATTCATTTTAAAGGTCCAAAATTGTTATGTATTTAAAGTTAATACCCCGAAGTTCAGCTTCTGAACTTTAAGGGCACCTTAAAATAAGCTAGTGTTTTAATAGATATTGAATGTTCATAGGAATCAGGACATTATATGAACTTGCATTTAGGAGAGAGATAATAAATGAAACTGCCCGCCTTTGGGATACGAGATTTGAGTGCACTCAATCCAACACACTTTTAAAATGCACATATTATAAAATGTAACTGAAAGGGACTTACGTAAGCAGAATATAGCTGATGATTGTAATAGAAACTCGATTGTAATAGAAACTAGAGATTTGAGTGCACTCAATCCAACACACTTTTAATTTTTAGGTGCAGTCTTTGATTCTGGCCACAGTAATCCCAACTAGTCACTTCATATTTTCCGTCTTTCTGCGTCAAGTGTACAAGTTGTTTAAACCAAATAAAAATACACCTGGTGCTTTATGTTTATAGTGTTGGTTGCTATGGAGGACTAGACTCAATTTCCAATTTTGCTCTCTGAGGTCGTACTACTCCAGTAACATTTTTGTCAAAGTTCTTTTTTAAACTCACACAGTACAACTAAAGTTTTCTGGATCTGCTTTGTTGCGTGTGACGTCTGAAATTTAAAGTGTACAGGATACGTGATGGGAAACTTATACACCAAATAAAACTATGAATTTAGGTGTTACTTTTGTATTCGGTGCAACGCTGTCATCGTCATCGTTGGTAAAATCCATCAGAACAGCAAAGTGGGTTAAGTGATTACACTTGCATTCCGTTTGGGATTCGCTCAAGATTCTGGTGAAACAACCTTGCGATGACCAACCCTCAGGGCTGTTTGAGAAACAAAAGAAACTTCTCAAGTGGTTGACCGCAGTTCCAGGCTATGCAATCTAATTCAGCTTTCTAAATGACATACACAATACATCTCGTAGAGTTTTGCAAGAAAGGAGGTTTCGTGGGAACACTTGTGAGGCTTACCCCTCTCCAAACATCTTCCAGAATACACACTCTCTTCTATCTCCACTTGCCTGAAGGTATTGCAAGAGAATAAGTCAAGAAGCAGTTTATGGACAATGCTAAGTTTGGAAACTGAACTTTTAGACACAAGCTCAATTACTACTAGATAACGAAGTTATCTCGTAATTTATGGAGCTTGTTTCTAGCTTGTTTTTTGGAGCTTTCTTTTAGAGCGCTGGACTGTTGTGCGGGAGGTCAAGGTCGATGGTTCGAGCCCTGGCCGGACCAACACTCAAGGTCTTAAAATAACTGAGGACAATGCGCTACCTTTCTATAATATCAAGAAATGGATAGACATTCTAGTCTTCTCGGATAAGGACGAATAAACCGTAGGTCCCGTCTCCTGCATCTATTAACTAGTTAATTTGGTTAGGCAGGGGTCATTAACGAACCCCCTCACGAGATTACTGTGATGTGGTCTGGCCTGTTTACTGGGAATTGAAGGGGAGGGGGCATTTTCATATAAGTTTCCTTCGATTGTTTGTAGACTGCTGATGCAGTCCGGCCAAAGTCTCCCGAAAAGTGTTGTGATGCGCATTTGATCATATCCACATGTTAATTTGCGCAATATAAATATTAAATTATTATTGAATTATTATTGTTATTATTATGTTTTATCGAGGGAGTTGATAATGAAAATTCGCCTGCGCAGAGACATTATAAAGCTGATGTTTCCAGCATCACCCCTTTATCAGAGCCCCGACGAACGCTTTACGCTCGATACGTCAGCTTTTTAATCTCTCTACAGTGGCCAATTCACATTATCAACTCACTTGACAGACTTCTTTATCTTACTATACTCCACGCGAACGCAGCACCACGGTTTCTAGAAACTTCCCCCCTCCCTCAAATATTACAGATACGAGAATACAAAACAGGGGCATTTTTTACTGAAATGCCAGATTCATTAAAGTAGACCCTAAGATCATTGATCATCACGATCATTGCTTTCACCATCGTCATTGTCATTAATTATTATCTTTGATTAATTCGATTCACCCACTTCATCCGATAATCTGGAAAATTCAAAGAAGGAAAGCTTTTACATTGAAGACAATGACAATTTGACGTCCCCTAAAAAATTCCTAATGCTTCCTTACTTAAACATAAGCTGCTAGGCAAGATGGAGAAGACAAAAGACTAAATTCGGTACAAAAGGTGATGAGGATACCTTTTTCATGTTTTTAAAAACCAGGGTAATGTTTTCCTGCAATTTATCAAGCTCAGGATATATTTCAGCGGACATGATTATAGTGTTCAGCTTCCTTGTAATAACATAAAAAAAAGAGATAACAATGTTAGATGGCATACAATAAAGAAACGAAAACGTTTGTATAGTCTCCATCAGAATCTCTTGTTAAATTGAATATTATTACTCACCTGTAGCTCTGGACCTTACTTTGGAGAAACCTTATCAATTTAGAACCACGGGATAGGTTTGGATATATCATGTTAGCTATCCACGTTAAAGATGTTTTTCCTTTGTTTTCTTTTAAATCAGGTCTCGCCCTGAACTTAGCTTATTTCATCTTCTCGAAACTTTGAATGAAGATACGAGTTTAATGAAGTACAAGGAAATACACAAGCTAACGCTTGACATGCAAACCTGGTTTTGTTTGTTCCGTTGATGTTGTTGTCCGATATGAAGAACTCGGTTAGATTTTTATACATAGCTGCTACAACCACTGACCCTATATGGAGGTAATTCGAACGAAAAGATACATATTTTATTCGCCAAGCAGGAGTTCCCTACTCGAAAAATCTGTGCCCGAGTCTTAGATACAGCCCAAGTCCCCTCCTGGGTAAAACTTAAAGTTAGTATCTGCGCCCATGTTGATCGAGGATGATTTCTTTTGCTTTCTCTCATTTTACATTTGGCATAAATCCATCCTAGAGCTCTTTGCGCCTCAATTTCAAAGATTAGTCTGTTTTTTCTTTTCGTTGTTTTTTGTTTTTAACCAATATTTATCGGTTTACTTCTCATGATACCTCTCATGATTTTACTGGAAAGCTTGTCTACTAAATATACAATGTTAATTATAGATCAGGGGTTCAGAAATTTCTTATTGAGATTACATGTACTTCTTAGTATACCCACCGTTCTCGTGGGAGTTTCCTGATGGAATTTCCATGAAGTTTTCCTTTCCAGGATCAGTAAAAATAATTTCATCGCCACTGTGCTTGAATGTGCGAGTAGCAAGATAATCTACGACTGCGAATTAGAAAAAAAGGCCATGTGTTTTCAATATTATTTATTTCTAAGTGTTTGTAATGTGGCGTAAGGCCCGATAAAATATTTTCAAGCCGTACAACTCATTAAATAAATTTATTTGAGCGCGATGGATCTTGCTCTAGCGTAAAGTGCTGATTATCCAGAGACATTCCCTAACAACTTTTATGCCCCAGTTGAAAAAAAAAATACGAAAATGAAGAAAAAAAAAAAAAGACACAGACACACAACAACAACAAAACAAAAGAAAAAACAATAATGATAATAATGATAATAATAATGGTAATAATAACAAATAAAAGCAAGAAATAAAAAAGATAGAAGATAAAGAAGTCTGCGGCCCTATTCCATGTCGAAACAGGATTATTTATTTTTGCACTTTGGATAATTTACTTGTTTTCATTTCAATAATTCATTCGGAGTCCGTGATATGTCATCATTTGCACCTTACAGTCCGTGTTTGTTCATACTTAGTTAATCTTCACAAGAATATCTTCAGTTACATGCAAAACCTACCTGAATTATTTCTGAAGAGGGAGAAATTGGTAGTTGTAGCGTTCAAATGTGATAGAGCCAGTCTATATAGAAAGTCTTCAAATACCAGTGCGATGAACATCACATCCCCCTTAGTTAGGTTCTTTTTCTTAGGGCTAAAGATAGTTGCATTCTCAAGCATGGATACTGCATCCTGATTACGAAAATCGGAGGAAAGTAAATGGTAAGATAGCAAGAGAGAACAAAAGTATATGATTTTATCCTCACCATTTTAATTAATTTAGCCATTGAACTTGTAAAGGTGGAGCGAACTCTTAATTCTCGACGGGGAAAACTTGCCGAGAGTGGGAGGGGCAAATTTGCAACGGATGGAAATCTACAGATACTCTGCATGGCCTGCACTCTTGTTGTTTTTTATCTGTTAAGTTCTCTAATGCCTTGTGGCCTTTGTTATCTATACTGGGTGAACTTGCCAATGTATAGACCCTTTACCAAAAAAACCCTAAAGAAATGTATCTCTAGATCTGGTTTGTAATGATGTATTGTTTCTCTATTGGCTGCAGCACAATTCCGTTCAGTTTTCATATCATCAATGCTTCAAAAACAATATCAATGTCAAACAGTACTACCTTCTCGGCGTTAATCTTTTTAGGGTTAAGATTTCCTAAAGATTCCAGACCATGACAATTCTCTCTCTAAACGAAATAAATCAATAAATTAATGGATTAATCAATAAATCAGTCAAACAGTCAAGTAGGTCAATCGCTCGGTCAATCTACCAGATCTATTTGTCAGTTCGCTAATCTACCAGATCTCTCTGTCAGTCAGCTATTCATGTCAGTTATGATTTGAAACTGTCGTCGCAATGCAACATAGGCTATCTAGTTTAGACCCGAGCACTTTATATATATATATATATCTCTCTATATATATAGCGGTTATAAATTAATGACAGGAAGATCGTTTCATCGTTACTCTGAGTTTCACGCAGCTTGCGCTGTGATCGTTAGACGGTTTTCATATCCACTATTGGAACTCTCTGCAACCCGCATCGAGCAGTTTCTCACAGCCACGATTTCGTCTAGCCTGTCTATATATATATACTCTAGTTTGAGCACTCTGGCATGGCTTAGACGATACCACAAAGGTTGGGTCGTTTGGGGTGACCGTCTCGGTTCTCCCCCATCCTAGCATTCGCACTGCACTGATGAGGCCCAGAAGGCCGAAACAGTACTGTCTGCAGTTAGTTATATATATATATATATATGTATATGTGTAACTGCAGACAGTACTGTTTCGGCCTTCTAGGG